TTGCTGGGGCAATCCTTCCCAATCTCTATTTTTGCAGTCTTTACACTCCAGGGTTAGCTGGAGTAAGTTTTAGTACCTAAATCTGAGTTTTTGCTTTTTACTGAACATGAGATTTTTGACACAGAGAGAGTGGGGGGGGGGGGAGGAATCAAAAAAGACCATCTACAACAATCTTGTTTTGCTATAGCTGCAATGAACTTTAAACATGAAGAGAAAAAAAATGGCAAATGAAAACAAAACCTTGCAGCTCTGCACTTCAAGGACATATCACAATGCGGGTTCTATAAAAAATCTTACCATGAGCAGTTGATGAGGGGAGGGAGGGGAAAGACAGAAACCATTTTCTTGCTGAACTAAACAGACAGGAGAAAATTTGTGACAAGACCCAGGATGGCTGCTTTAGACATTGGTGGGGTGTGGACACTTGGGACTTGTCCCCGTGTGCCTGGGAAGTGACAAGAGCCCACCAGAGCAGGGGATGGGAAGCCAAAGAGAAGCAATTTGTCTGAAAGTCTTAACAAAATTTAAACTGTAAACTGGATAATGACAAACTAAAATGAATTTTTTTAAAAAATCAACTACCTTTTGACTCTGCCTCATATCAGGATTTTGGGTCTTTCCAGAGCAAATCATCAGTCAATTATGAAAACTTAGGTGGGCTGTTTGAGTGCGACACATTACTCTTTGTTACAGAGTAAGCTGAAACCACAAGACTCATTTCACTCAGAACCTCAAAATATACCTAACGCTCCAGGACTACTCCAAAACCCTGCAACACCCCCACTCTAATGCAAGGAGTTAAAAAAAAAAAAAATCACACACTATTACACAGTAATAGGGCATATATTTAAGAGCATGTCCTGGGTTCCCCAAACCATTATCCTCTCAAGAAGAAAGTAACATAAATTATGTATTTTCCTTCAAGTTTCTGTGGCAGCAGGTTGTAGTCTGAGCACATTTTCCAGTTTTTCCCCACACAAATCAATGGTTTGGGGTTTTTTTCTGCTGCTGTTTTGAGCAGGTCCAGGTGAGCCCACATCCCCACTATCACGGAATGACACAGGCAAGTGAGAAAGAGAGAAAAGAAACTGCTATCAAAACACTATTCCTTCTGCCCACAGAAACCAACATCCAACAAGAACCAGTGTCAGTATGAGCTGCTGGCAGACTGTGTCACTCACTTTGTCCTCCTGGCCAGCCTGGACATACAGTGGCAGCAGCAAGGAGAGGATGGTGCATTTCAGATCGAACAGGAGACACTCCCACAAGCTCCATAAGTTAACTTAGTGCCTAAACGCATGCTGCTCAAAAGTAATTTCAGTGAATCTCTTAAATCTGCTTGGTTTCAAGCAAAGAGTTGTTAAAGACAAAAACAACCCAATAAAATTGTTGCTACTGTTCTTTGAACCAGGTTCAGACTACTCTTTGAAGGAAGAGTCGCCTTTCTTAAAATATATTTGAATGTGCTATTTTAGTCTTTATCTTAGAAGGCCCGATTTCCCCTCACAGCCCTGCAACTGATTACAGTAATAGGTTTCTCAGAGATGGACAAGTTAAGAAGAGGTTTAGTAACTTCACATACAGCAAAGAGTAAGGAATTTGCTGCCCTCCTTTTTCTTTAGTTCTGAATGCAGCCCCCCAGTCCCTCCCCACTTACACACACGGTGACTCTACCCTAGTAAGCAGTGCCATGCAAGTCACTTGTGCTCCTCACCTTACCTAAATAACCACGAGTGTGGCAGCTACTCCAGGCAGAATTCACATGTGCACTTGAAGATGCTTTTGCCTACTACTCTCAGGTAGATGGCAGGCAAAAGAATCGGCTAATTTCAGGGACAGGAAAAATTGTAATTCTGATGATAATTTTTTATTGGAACCATTCAGCTCTCAAAAGAATGCAAGGGGAGGAAACAAATTGTTTCCACACCAACCATTATTTTGTGTTTGTCAAACGCTGCTTGTTTTTTTTTAAAACCAAAAAAACAAATACATATTTCTAAGGAAGCTGAAATGAAACTGCCTTATCTCACAGTTATTGTGACACATACTAAGGAGGTGCAACGCAGGGCCCTTCTTTTTTACACTGTCCCATTCCAGTATTGGCAAAGGGAGAAAAGGGCCTTCTCAAACACTTGGCTGAGAAAGTTTTTAGGTGACATATCCCCCCACTTGATTAGAACAAACAACAACAAAAAAAAGATGAAAATATTCACAGCAAAATATTAACTTACTGTTTTAGGAAACAGTACTTTACAGAACTGCTCTTATACTCTTCTCACCCTCCCTGCCAGAGGCCAAGTAATGAGCCCAATTCTTAATAGCAAGCCGCACTGTATCACTTCAAGAATTAAAATGGCCAGAAGAAGAGAAGCAACAGAGTTTTGCATTTAAAATCTAGGAATTCCTTTTTTCTATCTAGGCTAGTTATGCACTACCCAGAGGCAAAAAAAAAACTAAAACAAGGATTGCTTTATGGTCTTAAATGAATACTGGAGGATTCTCAATAGGCAGGTCATCATCAGTAACATACAGGTTGAGAAAATGAAATGGCCTAGGCATGGAGACTTTTTCAGTCTATCGAAATACATCATGAGTCAATGTTAGGTAGAGAGGTTAGTCATGCTGTGGTTTATTTATGCTCATGTTGGCCCCTGATACTAAACACTGGAGGCAGGATGCCTGCCTAGCTACCTGTGGCCTCATCCCTCTTCCCCAGGGAGGGATGCCAACAGCAGGACATACACAGACACTGTGATTGAGCTCCAGTGTTATCCTATCACCAGAAGGCCAGTCCTCCAGCTCGCACTCAGGCCAAGTTTCACAGAGAAGTGCTTTACCTGTATCTGAGTTTTTTTGGCTTTTCAAGATACACAGGTTTGACCACCACACCACAGTGCTGCTCAGGTCCTCACTGAGGTCTCCAACTTCAGAAACACAAGCTGCTAATCAATGGTAGAACAGATTGTTCTAGAGTGTTCATTTGCGCCAAAACTTTTTGAGTAGGCTATACTTAAACCTTTAATTTTTTCAAAGATTATCAGAGTATCCTCTACAGAAGCAAGAAAAATGCACACAACACATTTTCTTCATAAGAAAAATCACTTATCTAAATTCTAGGGAAAAGTCTATTTGTTTTATGCAAAGCTGCATAGTATGCATGCATAGAGCACGCACGCAGCAGCCCTTCTATTGTTATATGTGCCTTGGACAACACTTAGAAAAAAGATAAGGTACCAACCAGGGCATATTAAATTCTGACACTTCAGTGGGCAATGAAGCGAAATGGGTTATTTCTAGATAGATGCACCTTATTAATGCAACAGTTCCATTCTGATCCAACTGAATGTCCAAGACCACAAAGCAGATAAGCGATGACAGCAATCAGCTGCATGTACCGCATGCAAGAATAACTCATGCACACGCTGGCACTGTAACCATGGGTCACTTCATCGTGACACTATACCCTGAGTGAGGGCAGCAGACAAATCCCTGGTCCCCAGGGCAGCTCTGCGGGCCAGAGGCCCAAGCAGGATGGGTACAGAAAGCAGAGCGGCCCTGCTGAGCAGCCAGGCCAATCCTGCCAGGTGAATTCTCTCCTCTTCCCATATCCACAGTAAAATTGTACCTACCAACGGCATAAAACTCCCCCCTCAGTGATTACATGCTTAAAACATTAATCATGCAGTTAGTTATACACAATATTTTCCATAAATATTTAAGCTATGGGTCATCCTATGTATTTTGCTGCCATCATGTCAGTCTGTAAGAATGTATGAACCTCACCTGTAACTATCTGAATGACGACCAGCACTGATGCACAAGGACAGCAAGTGCAGGTCAGACTTTACTGGATGAAGGCAATAACGCGGCTAGGTTTACATCTCGATCAGTCAAGCCTGGTTAGTTGACAGGCAGACGTGAAAACCACTCTGTAAAGTCAGCAGAAGGATGAATAGGCATTATCCATTTATTAACTGGTTAACTGCCGATTAATTTCACTTGCAAATCGCCTCTCCGGTATTTAAACACCTGGCTAAGAGTTTTTGTTCCTTACCACCCCGTAATTTTGACGGGCCAGAAAGCCGGAGCGGCCCGCCAGCGCCCAGCCCGCCGCGCGCTCCTCTCCCGCAGGAATGGAGGGAGAAATCCCCATTCCTCCGAAACGAGCTCGCCCCACGCGGTGCCGCCCGGGAAGGGCTCCACAGCCGAGCCCCGGGACCGCTCGGCTCCCAGCACTGATAACGAGAGGGCGCCGAGCGCGCTGCGGGACGAAGGACGGGGGGAGAGGCGCGTGGGTCGCCCACTCGTGTCAGGGGCCGTGAGGGGCAGCGCGGCTCGGGGAACTTCCGCGGCGAGCCCCGCCGAGCCGCCCTTCCCCGCCTCTGCTCCCGGCACGGCGCGGCGGCGCCCGGGACTCGCAGCAGCGCCGCGGCGGGGGCGCCCCGCGCCGGCCCCGCCGCCCGCCCGGCCCGGGCAGGTACCGGGCAGCGCCCCCCGCCCGCCCGCGCCCGGACGGGCAGGAGGCGGCGGCAGCCGGCAGGGCCTCGGCGCTGCAGACCGAAAGTCAACTGCGAGCTGCAAACTTTTTTTCTCCCTCCTCCCCCACCCCCCCCTTTTTTTTTATTTCCCTCCTCTCCTTCCAGGGCAGCCCCGGCTCTGCAAAAACGAAACTTGCGAAGCGTTGCCCCTACCTGGCGCGAAGTCTGCAACAAGTGCAGGCGGGCGGGGGAGGGGGGCGGGCGCGGGGCTCGTGGCGGTGTCGGCGAGGCGGGAGCAGATCGCGATATTAATTTATTACGGAGCTGCCCCGGGCTCGGTCCTACTTCACTTACAGTACGGCGCCCATCCTGTAAACAAATATCGCTCCGCCAGGAAACGCACTCCCCCGGCCCGGCCCGGCGCGGCCCCGCTGCCCGGCACCCACCCCGGCGGCGGCGGCACATGGAGCGGCGCGGGGCGGGGGCCCCGCGCCGGGGGAGGCTCCGGGCACCGGCACTTACCTCCGGCACGGCCTCCCCCGCCCGCCGAGCTGCCGAGTCCGTGATGCAAAAAAGAAAGAAAAAAAAAAAAAAAAAGAAAAAAAAAAAGAAAAAAATCCCCGGTGTCAGCAAATCGCTGTCAAATAATTTCCTTGCAGCAGGGAGCCGGGAAAAGCAGAAGCAGGAGGGGGAGGAGGCTGCGGGAGGCGGCGGGATCCCTCCGCCGCGATGGGTCTGGCCCCGGGTAGCGAAGCAGGAAGTAAGGTGTCGGTGGCGCCGCGGCCGCCCGGCCCCGCGGCGGGGCGAGGGGCGCCCGCCGCCCCCGGGGGCCCGCCCGCCGCCGGCCGTGCGCCGCCGCCGCCGCCTCTCTCCCTCTCTCCCTCCCTCCCGCTCCGCCGCGCCGCGCCGCGGTCTGGCCGGCAGCCCCTCCTCTCAGGGCGGTGAGCGCAGCGCAGGTGCCGGGGCCACTGGCGGCGACCTGTCAGCGGCTCCCGCCGGGTCGGCGGGGTGCGGGCGAGGGGCTGCCGCGGGATCCCGCCGCATGCCGCAGGGCGCCGGGGCCGGGCACCGCTCCCGCTCCCGCCCGGGCGGCGGCGCCGGGGGACGACACCGCGGCAGCCCTGGGGCCGAGGGGGTCCCGCGCCGAGGGGCTGCGATGCAGGGGCGCTCCCCCGGCGCCGCGGTGCCGTCCGGAGCGGGGCAGCCGCGTCGGGGCCGGGGGCTGCGGGCGCTCTGGCCCGGCCTCCCCCAGCCCCGGGGCGCCGGAGGGGGAAAGTGGCCGCGGCAAAGGCGGGCTCGCTCTCACCCGGGAGCTCTCCTGCCCTGAGCGGGGAAGGGCTGCTGCGCTGCCGGGGCCGCCTCCCGGCTCCAGGGCGGCTCCTGCGCTTTGGGTTAATTTAGAAGTTAATTCTCTAATACAGCGAGCAATGTAGGAACTTGCTCCTGTGGTCACTGATCTTTTCCATTGGTCGTCCTAAATGATTTTTTTTTTTTAAAGTCTGCAGAAACATTTTGGTGAAATACCTCATCGGTCCTTCTTCCCTTGGGCTCGGCATTTGCATTAGATTGCAGCAAAATGTTCCCTCGCAGGGAAGGATTTTACATCTTGGGGACAGATATGTGATGCATACAGCTTATGCAGTGCTCTGTTTAAGCTCACGGACAATGACAGACTGTAAGAAACCGTAGCTGGGAAGAGAGAAACTGAAACGGGGATGGTTATAGGCCTACTTCTGCCTTCAAAGAGGGAAAAAAACCCCAACAGATAAAACTCTCAAGGGTTATAACTGGAACAGAAAAAGGTCTTTGGTGTTAGCATTTGTGATTCAGCCTTACATTATAATGGTTACCAGCAGCCTCATTTATGGTCATCCTGGTTTCCTGGTTGCAAGACACTTCCATTGGCCCACTGTTCTTAATAATTTAACCTTTTATGAAATTGTTTTGATTTACAGTGTAGATTATAGCAAGAGTGAAAAAGTATGATATCACTCCTTGGTTATTAAATTTCTTTGAACTATGCACAAATGTGAGAAAGTCTTGTTTTCTTCCTCGCTAGCTACTAATTTTCTGATTTTATTTTTACTTAACTGAAGAATACCATTCCAATATTGTAAGTTCTCTGTGCTGAGCTATGCTAAATCTATGCTGAGTTTTGGATTCAATGGTTGGCTTGTTTGCTTGCTGGAGTCCTAAGTCATATAAACTATGATGAAAATAGAATTAAAACCACAACTCAAAATGTGCTTTGCCTCTGTTTGTTTTTTGTGTCTAGTCTGGAACCCAGAATAGCCCATATTACTTGTGATTTCCAAAGTGACCTCTGAAAATAAGCAATGGAATTTAATAGTCTTTCTAGGTTTGTCTCAGCATCTCTACTTGTCCTGTTAATCAATACAAGCAAATCTCTGTTGAATCAGCTAGGTGTTATTTGATTTGCCTGAAACACAAGGGTTTGCGGTATAACTCAAAATAGAAGCAAATGTCTAATTTAAATTTCAACAAAGAATCATTAGCTCAGTTTGTTAGGGCATGGTGCTAGTAAGGCCAAGATTGTGTGTTTGCCTCCAGTATGGGCCATTCACTTAAGAGATGGACTTGATGATCCTTGTGGGTCCCTTCCAACCCAGAACATTCTGTGATTACCAAACAGCCTTCTGACATGCTATAAATTGGACCCATCTTACTCTGCCATAACAAGTTTAGCTACACAAAACTCTTAGCTCAGGACAACATTTCCATCAAATTGTGTGGGCTGGCTATAGCCAGACTGCATTCTTTGTGTTTATCCTGCCAGTTATGAGTTGGTCTCCATCAAAAGCACAAAACCTTAATTTGTGTTCTCAGTTTTCCTGATCCATCTTCTAATCTTTTAAGGATTTGAGTATCAATCTTCCCACTTTTGAATAAAAAAAAAAATCAGACTGTGGTTTACAGTATTCAACCTCAGAATAATTCTATGGGCTTGTCGTGATGCCGTTCGACAAGGATTTGGCAGGGATACCTGGCGAGCTGGGAGCTCTGAAGTCGGGGCGAGGTCCTGGCCGGCCCAGCCGCCCGCTCACTGCTGTCAGAAGAGGGAGACCTTGCCCTCTCTTCCCTGCCCGCCCAGCGGGCTCAGCTCGCCAAGCCAGAGCACTATTCCCTGTCTGGGCTGAGTTCCTGCCATTTTGGGGAGCTCCCTGTGAGATCAGCCCGGGGAGCTGGGGGCTGCGGGGCAGGGAGGGCCTGGGGAGCCCTGCAGCAGGTGGGCACGGTGGCTCCGCTGCCTCCAAACCCCCAGCACTTCCGAACAACACAAAAGCAGCAAATGTCTCACAGTAACTGCCATCCCTCTGTCAGAGCCTTGTCAGCAATTAATGCATTCTATTTTTTTTTCGAAGCGGGGCCGTTTCAGAAATGAAAGCATTACAGAAGTTTGGAAGTGACAGAGGTCTCTGATCATCCTCCTGGTTCGTTCCTTTCTGGCACAGAATTGCTGTGTCATTATTTTCCCAAATGTCTTAGTTTTTATTAGAATGCTCTGCCTTGAATTTGTAGGCTTTCCAAGAAAGACAATGCTGAAGAAAACAAATACTATGGCTGTGGTAGGAGGCAACATACCTTTGTTCAACAACTGGAGTCATTAAAATAAAACCACTACAGACACAATCACATCTATGCAAGTATCTTACTGGTCAAAGTTGCAGCAGCCAAAATACAGATGTTCATCCAGTTTCTTGGTTTTAGATGCCTGTTCCCAGGTGGAATTTTGAATTGTGGAGGATATCCTAAAAAAAAAACCAGACTGTAATTATCTGATTTCATTGAACAAGACTAATGACAGGCTTATATTTGTTTCAAGGGGGAGCTTTTGAGCCATAAATTGTACTGATGGATTTAGGTTTAAAAGCAAGTTCAGTTTCAGAACATGACATTCGACATAATGTGGACTTTATATTTGTAATTGAGATTATGGCCTTATTTTCCAGAAAAATAAAAGGCATTATGGAAATTTCAAGAGATGACAAATCTGCCCTTTTTGGTACCTGTTCTTTTGGTGTAATTACTGATCCACCCCGTTGTTAAATGCTTGACCTTGATTTTTTTTTTCAATTTGTGGGTTTTCCAGCATGAAGTTGCTGATTCTTTCCCTTCTAAATCAGTTTAGTATCATGTGAATCTCTTGGATTTAGTCAGTCATTTGTCTCTTTCCTTTTAGATTTATAAGACACACTGGGGTCCTATAGGAGTGGCACAGGTAGAATAGTTTGAAAAAGCCAAATGTGTTTTCTGTGATCACATTCCCTGTGCATCAAAAGGGAAGTAGATACAGCTTCCACAACCTAAACACACAGAAAAAAATACATGGGCACGGTGGCTCCGCTGAGAGCGTGGGCTCTCAATGGGCTTGCCCAGAGAACAAATGCATCATTCCAGGTTGTCTCTGGAAACATTACCTCTGCTTTGTTTCAAAGTAATGTTAACAACACTGCTCTTACCTTGGTGCTCTTTTCTTTCATGTACCTTGGGGTGTGTGTAGTGTTTCTCCCTCTTAGGTCTGGTCACCAGGAAGCTCAGGACAGGGAGAGCTTCCAGGATAAAACAGCTTACCCTCTTCAGTGTCACTTCTGACGGCATCCATTGTGAGTTAGAAAAAATGGCCAAGGGTTGAAATGGAGCGAAATATTTTCCATAGAAATTAATAATTTCAATGAAATGAAATTATTAATTCTAGAAAATGAATAATTTTTAGTAGAAATGTATCAGGACCCCAGCTACTGCCAACTACCATGTACTTACTTCCTTTTGTCCACTTCCACCACCCAGGTGAGGAGCAGGCCTGTGTCAGAAGAGCAACATCCCAGCCTTGCTGGTCCAAGTTGGCTCTTGTCCAGTTAAGTGGCTGTTCTGATTCCAGATATGAGGCAAAGTCATGGATTTCACTGGCAGCCTTATATGATCTCAGATCATGCTGCTGCCATTTAAAAACTAATCCTGGAAGTAAGAGTTGGTTTTTTTTTTTTTTTCCTTCAGCCAGATTGGTTTGCTGATTGCAGAGCATAAGGAATGGTGCAGGAAATGTGCCAAGGAGGGGAGAGGATGAGAGCATGCTGCGTTCATTCAGACTGTCTGGTGAAAGCCCTGCTCACAGGGCCCCCTCACTACAAGAAAAAAACTGAGGTGCTGGAACATGTCCAGAGAAGGGCAACAGAGCTGGTGAGGAGTCTGAAGCACAAGTGTTATGAGCAGTAACTGAGGGAACTGGGGTCATTTAACCTGGAGAAATGGAGTCTCAAGGGAGATCTCACTGCTGTCCACAGCTCCTGGAAAGGAGGCTCTAGCAGGGTGGAGGTTGGTCTCTTCACTCAATCAACAAGCAATGGGACTAGAAGAAATGGCCCCTAGTTGCATCAAGAGAGGTTTAGAATGGGTATTAGGAAAAAAATCTTTATGGAAAATGTAGTCAAGCATTGGAACAGGCTGCTCAGGGAAGTGGTGGAGTTACCATCCCTGGAGGGATTTAAAAGATGTGCAAGATGTGGTGCTAAGGGGGAGTGGTGGATTTGGTAGTATTAGGTTAATGGTTGGACTCAATGATCCTAAGGGTCTTTTACAACCTGAATGATGCTATGAATCTTTTCATGAATGCTAAAACAAAAGTGAATTGTGATGGCTAAGGTCCTGCTAGCCCCTATGCAAGTTACTACCTCCAGCTCCATGGGTTTGCCTCCTGTTTGCACCCAACACTGACACTACTTCCCTGGTGAGCCAGACCACCTGCCAGTGCTGGCAGAAATGCCCTGTCATGTTTC